AAATTTTGGATTCCGCATGCTTTTGCTTCAAATTTTTTGTCGTGCTCCGTACCTCTCCATCAGCGATATCAACATACCAGTAGTTTTAGTAGAATTTTTTTAAATACAGAAATTTTGCCCAAAATTTATTGGAATCTTTAAGATACATATTTCTGTGAAATTTCATAACTATATGACGTCTGTAAGAGTAAATAATAGCACATGCAGTCCGCGTAATTTTTGAACGGCCCTCGTACTTCACATGTAATCCTTGTGACAAAACCTTTCATTGGGTACCAACTTTTACCTTTTGACCTTGACCTTGGAGTTTCTCTTACCTTTTGAAAAGTTAACCTTAGCCATAACTTTAGAGGGGTAAGGGCTAGAGTTTTCATACTTAATATATATATAATCTTTGTGACAAGACCTTTCATTGAATATCAACAACTTTGAACTTTTGACCTTGACCTTGGAGATTGACTTTTATATAACTTCAACCTTGATCATAACTTTAGAACGGTAAGGGCTAGGGCTTTCATACTTCACATATGTAATCCTTCTGACAAGACCTTTCATTAGATACCAACAGCCTTGTTATTGTTTACTTTCACGAATCACCGGGTGTGTTCAATTGTTAAAGTCTGCAAACACCACTGAGCACGGACTGACGTAGTGAGCGCGTTTTCCATTCGAACATTTTTACTCTGAATTATTTAAATTATAGCTTTAATATTTTTCATTAATATTCAACATTATGGTCAAGGTTGAGTGGGACAAACTCTAAGGTCAATGTCCAAAAGGTAAAAAGTGTTGGTATCCAATCGAAGGACTTGTCACATGGTATACACCTGTGAAATATGAAAGCCCTAATAATAACGGTTCAACAGTTTTGGTCAAGATTAAAGGTTTTTTTTTTTAATGGACTAAACTCTAAGGTCAAGGTCAAATATTTTTTATATCCCATGAAAGTTCTTTTCACAGTGAATAATACACATGTGAAGTATAAAAGACCTAGCACCATCAGAAATTACATGTATTGCTATGGTGAAAGTTTAGAAATTTTTTACCTTACCTTTGTTACCACCAAATTTGACCTTTTGACCTTTGACCCACTTTTTACCAAAAATTCCGAATTTTAACCATAACTTTTTATTAGTTCGTACTAGGGCTTTCATACTTCACATGTGTATTTATTGTGACAAGACCTTTCATTAGGTAAAAATATATTTGACCTTTAGACCTCGATCTAAGAGTTTGAACCACTTTTTAACTATAAACTTTTTGCCATAACATTTGAACATTTAAGACAATGGCCTTCATCTATCGCAGGTGTATTCCTTGCGACAAGAACTTTCTTTGGGTACGAATAATTTTGACCTAAACCTTTGGAGTTTGACATGCATTTAAGAAAATTCAACCCTCCCAATAAGCTGCCATATCGGGGGGCGTGGGGGGGGGGGGGGCATCAGTGTTTTTAAAAACATCTTGTTTTCTTGAAAACGTTTTGTTTATAAAAATTTGATAAATTTTAATTACGAGAACTTTTCTCTGATACACTTTGCAATTTCATACATCTAAAGCTATCAGCATTCTGCACACCTTGTTCACCCACCTTATAAACTGAGGTCCCGTGTCGCAGTAGATGCTGGAACGAAAAAGATCCCTCACTGCTCAATGGACCTAAGTGCCGAGTATAGGACAAAATTTATAGCTCTCCATCGCAAGTGGTGGTGTCTCCATATGAGTGAAAAATTCTCAAGAGGGACATTAAACAATATACAATCAATCAATCAATCTTTTACCCCAAAAGCAATGTTAAACAAATTTACACTATATGAAGATGCTTCTCGGAAAAATCTTTGAAAAGTCAGGCAACAGTTTTTCGCATTTTTTTTTACTTGAAATAAACAAAATGATTTGAACATGCCACACAATTGTATCAAAGAAAGGACATGGATTCATTCGAATTGCAAAATATTGAATTCAAACTTTAATGGACATTCTATTTTTCTAACCTGTATTTTATAGATAAATTCTCTCTATTTTTATTTTAAAATGTAGGCCAAGATGATAAACTTTTCTCAAAGAGTTCACATGATTACAGTACACATGATTTACTTACATAATGAACACCCTGAAATAAAAAAAAAAATCTTTTCTTTACCTGCACTTGGTCAGGAGTATTCTCCAACACAGAAGTGCTAAGAGCATGAAATGAAAAACATATGCAATTAAAATATAAAATAATTGAAAAGTATCATCTATTTCACATTTTTCTCCTACTCTTTCCACAAATCTGACCAAAAAACGACCTGAAACCATAAAATGAAATGTCGTACACTGACCTTTTCCACAGGGTAGTAATTTCGCAGAATCACAATTTCAATTCAACTTATAGGTAACAATCTTAAGTCGATTTCTTGAATTTCAATTATATGTCTTAAAAGCACTGTGACAAATTTTTGCAGAAAATTTGTTACCTTGAACATAGCATAAATTAATCCCAAGTGGAAAAAGTACATCTACAGTAGTTTAATTAAAAAGGAACTTAAATAGTGTAATGTAAAGCAAAGAAATTGATGCTATATGTAGGACAAATGAATGAAACACATCCTCAGCAGCTGTAAATACTGTTGCCAATTTAGTCTTTTTTTTTTACAACATGCATAACTTTGACCATAACTTCATTATAAGCCTGGACTTCATTATACCGTATAGTGGGTTATTTTAGCTGGGTGCTAATTTTGGCTTATTTTGGCATTTTGATGGTAGCCCGCTAAAATTTTAATCGCTAAAATAGTTAATACTCTTCTTAGTGTTCATCTATAAAGAGCTGAATTACTGTGTCCGTTAAAATAAATTACGCCAAAATTATTGGCATACCTTTGAGCAGGCAAAATGCCAAATTTTACATCCGCCAAGAAAACCCGCTATACGGTAGTTAGAATTGAATAATATTCAGCCAAGTTGTGAAAACAAACTAAAGTTATCAAATGCATGTTTGTCAAACATAGGTAATCAGAGATTACAGAGCTCACCTCAACGAATGTTGTCTTTAAATAAGGCAAATTCACATAATTAACCAACAAAAAGTGTACCATTCCAAAAATGAAAATATTTAAGCAATTTTGATCTTATACTTTGAAATAGACCTACATAAAAAATTTAAACTAGTTCTTCTTCATGAAAATGTAATCAAAATCCAGCATCTGAAGCAAATTTGAGAATTTTCATCTCTTGATGAAAACTTTAACCTGTTCACTCAACCAGAAAATGTAGGTCAGATTCAGCATCCGAAGCAAGCCTGGTAGTGTGCATCCTTAGATGTATCATCCATGCAAGTTTGGTCAACATAGGGCTTATAGTTACTTGGAAATGAAACCTGCACCAAAAACTTTAATCTGTTCACTCAACCGGAAAATGTAGGTCAGATTCAGCATTTGAAGCAAGCCCGGTAGTATGCATCCTTAGATGTATCATCCATGCAAGTTTGGTCAACATAGGGCTTATAGTTACTTGGAAATGAAACATGCACCAAATACTTTAACCTGTTCACTCAACCAGAAAATGTAGGTCAGATTCAGCATCCGAAGCAAGCCTGGTAGTATGCATCCTTAGATGTATCATACATGCAAGTTTGGTCAACATAGGGCTCATAGTTACTTGGAATTGAAACCTGCACCAAAAACTTTAATCTGTTCACTCAACAGGAACATGTAGGTCAGATTCAGCATCCGAAGCAAGCCCGGTAGTATGCATCCTTAGATGTATCATCCATGCAAGTTTGGTCAACATAGGGCTTACAGTTACTTGGAAATGAAACATGCACCAATAACTTTAACCTGTTCACTCAACCAGAAAATGTAGGTCAGATTCAGCATCCGAAGCAAGCCCGGTAGTATGCATCATTAGATGTATCATCCATGCAAGTTTGGTCAACATAGGGATTATAGTTACTTGGAAATGAAACCTACACCAAAAACTTTAACCTGTTCGATCAACCGGAAAATATAGGTCAGATTCAGCATCCGAAGCAAGCCCAGTAGTATCTATCCTTAGATGTATCATCCATGCAAGTTTGGTCAACATAGGGATTATAGTTACTTGGAAATGAAACCTACACCAAAAACTGCACCAAAAATGTTAACCTGCTCCAAAAACATTAACTTGGTCATCCCTTTGCTGAAATTGCAGCATCTGAAACTTTGACTGATACAATGAAACACACTAGAACCATCTTCCATGCATGTCTAATCAATATAGGACACAGAAGTACTTAAAAAGAAAACTGCTCCCAAAAACTTAACCTTAACCTGGGACGCCGATGCCGAGGGTATTACATAAGCTCCCCCAACTTCGTTGAGGTGAGCTAATAAAAGCACTCGGCACATAAAATATGAAGAGAAACAAAGGCTTTGGTTATTAGATAGTCATAAGTATGTACATTTTAATATACTGTAAATTCCTAATTAAACTCAAGAAATTTATTATAGCATAATTTTGGGTGAAGCATCACTTGCAAAATAAAATAAGTTGCTTTTATTTTTCATGGTGCTGAAATCCATGTAAATTCTCTTTATCAATCGCAAATAAATATTCTCTTGATTTGACGTTAAAGAGTCATTTCGCAATAATAAGTACTCGTGTAAAATAAGGAATCTACAGTAATCACTTAATAAAATCCACACCTTGCTCTCATAAAAAACACAAAACAAGGAGTGACTATTTATATATAGCCACTGAATTATTTGTTTAACATAGTGACTAAGTTTCACTCCAATTTTCTGTATAAAACTCAAATGTTGCTGAAAATGGTAGAAATTTACTGTGTATATAGAGAAATGTTTGATATTTATTACAAGTAGGAGATTGGCCGAATTTATCATTAGGTCATAAATAGCTATTTAAACAGGGGCTAAACTTTTTGTTTTTTCATCATTAAAAGCGTCTGCCTAAATATGATACTTCACTTTTTCCTGGTCTAATAGCATTAAATGTATCTATAGTCACAATGAGTTTTGTTTAACAAAAAGTAGACAAGAAAAAGTATTCCAATCTCTACCATTCAACAATCACATTTTTGACATTTGTGAATATGTCTATTAGTGAGCTACTCATAATATGGTGATTTGCTATCATTCATTCACTTACTCTGCATTTACATATGCATTTTTAAAACCAGAAATTGTGAAAATCAAGAAATCAGATGTAGCATTATAATGGTTGAGTTTATGTGGGGGGTCAAAAATTGCCAATTGACAAATGGATGGAGAACTCTTCCTAAGGAACAATAATCTTTGTCACAAAACATCTTAACTCAATTACAATATAAACCCAAATACATTTCAAGATACAAAGTGTGCCAGTAATGGATCACAGATGATGAAGTCTAAAGTGATAAATGTATGGTATTTCAAAATAATTTCCTCTTCTTCTGTTGTTCAAATTGTTTTATTTCTCCATCAAAAATGCAAGACACATTTGAGGAGATCACTCAGAAATTGTAAATTTATAGAATATTTAGATTTTCTTTTCCATTAGTATATACTAGAGCCAAATCCAAACACTTGTTTCATTCTGTTCCAGTAGTTGATGGCCCAGCCTTCTTTTGTTTTCTCGTATTCTGTGTCAGGAACACCAGTCTGTGTATAGTTAAGCACAGTGCAGTCATCTTTTTCATCAAATTCAAAAGTCACTGTTGAATAATGAGCATCTGGCCATGATTTCACTCTCCAATGTTGTACTATTTTCTGATTAGGAATCTGCAAATAGCAATACATTTAATAGGCTAAGTGAAAATATATTTCATTATTATACTACTACACTCAAAATATTTCTAACATTTACATGCATTTGTAAAGAACATGTAAACAGAACTGTCACAAGAAAGGCTTAGCATTGAACAATTCTTACTTGGCATTTTTATGTGGAGAAATGCATAAACAAAAAATAAAGCAAGTATATGTAACTCAATGAGATTTGCATTTGCTATTCAAGATTAAAGTGTAGAGAATCCAATATTCACATTATGTATGGTTCAATAACTTTTTTTCAAAGCTTCTTTTAATTGCAGTATATGCAATGCACGTGTCAATGGAATGTGTACATCACAGTAATATATAGCTGTTCTGTGAAGTAGTTGCAATGTAATGTAATTGATAATAGTTGTAATGAGCTGAAATAAATGTAAGTATATACTGTTTCCTAAAAAATATTAACCCGATGTACTGTACGTGTACATAAATTGGTGCATTCAAAATTTAGCACAATCACTATAAGGCACTGAGCTGTTGGCATATTCACAAGTGCTACACATTTTTGTGCCATATATTGTATTAATAATTTCTGAGCAGCATTCATGAATAAGCACATGCATGTCTGTACCATAGCTTCTAAAAAATGAAGCCCATGTTTTTAAGAATACACACACAGTAACTGGAAGTCACACTGATAAAGATTTTAAAAAATGTAAAATTAGTGTTTATTGATTTCTAATTGCATTTTTGTCTCATAAAACATATACAGTGCTCATAAAAATATTTCTGATGGGCTGATGCTTGTTATAACTTATTTTAGAGAAGTTCAAGAAACATTTTATTCCCCTATGTTTGGATGCTCTGCATGCTGATTTATTTCAACAATAATCCTTCAAAAACTGAAAACCACTTCAGTTCCAAAATTACGGGAAAGCGTCTTACTTATATCTTCTTTATAAATTTTGAATTTTTAAGGAATTCATTTTCTGCTTAACTTATAATTCTAGTACTGCTAGATCAGCCTTGCGAGGAAGCAAAAAAAAAACATAGAAGGGGCAGATAATTCATTCTGACTAATATCATCATATCTGATGAGAAGAAATGAATCTGCTTACCAATTCTACAAATTCACCAGTTATATTTCCATGTAATAGAGAAAAACGCCCTCCCTTTTCAACTTCCATTTCCACTGGGCTAGCTGAAAAGGCCTGAACCATCTATAAAAATAATTCAAAATGCTGCAGAGTTAAACTGAATATGTTGTACATTAATAAATTTCTGTCAGCAATGTCTCACTTGTCTTACTAAGCACAATACAATTTTTTTCAGCTTTTTAATTCATGAGTATTCATCACAAAATTTAACGACAGTTTGATGATAGTTTAACTTGTGACTGTTTTTTCTTTCAAAACCATCAGAAATATAGATGTATGTCCATGTAGCAAATAGTGGCTTTTCTGGACAAAAATTATGTTACTCTGAGTGAAGAACTGTAATAATTGGTTTAAAGTACTGAAAATAATATTTTTTAAAATCATTTCTTTACCTGTACATCAGTGAGAGCTCTGTACAGGTCCTCAGCACGACATTTGAATTCCTCCTTCCCAACAATTTTCTTGGTGTGGATTTTTACCCCTAAGGGTTTGGCAACTTTGGTATCCACCACATGCTTGTTCATTTCTTCTTTAGACTTATTCTTTAAAATATTTTAAATAACAAATAACATTTACTAAAACGTTCATTAAAACTAGATATATTCCCTATTTACATTTTCATGAATCATTATAATAGAAAAATTCTAGCTATTCTTTAAAACACACATCAACAAAGTATAAATTCAATTTGCCTTTCAAATGATTGATTATTACTCCAAAGTCTTCTTAACTTATCTGTATTTTAAGTTTCTAATGATGTTTAATTGATGGTCTTGAATTTTCATTTTTTTCTCTAAGATAACAACATTAATCAAAATTTCACAACAAATTTTGTGAGGCTTCCATGTGTTACCATAGGAATCATGCAAGTTATATTTAGGTTAATAATGCCGATACCATATTACTTCAGGGAAAATATTTTTATAGTTTTTCTTGTACTGTTGATAGAATTTGATCATGTAACACCTATCATAATTGTATACAATTATCTTAAGGCCTAGAAAAAAATTATGTTTGTTTCCGCTTTCCCGACCGACCCTAATTTATAGTGCCGACCCTAAATATTTTTTTAATGCTTTTGTCCCATGATGTCCAAGATTTCAACCAGGGAATTATAGCCTCCAACTTTGCAAGCTTTTCAAGACAGAAAGAAGTTTGGGTCACCTTTCTATTATAAGTTAAGTCACAGTAATGCTTGAAAACACCATTTCTTTTGTCATTAATGTTACTTCTATACACGTTTTGATTAAAGAAGCAAAAAAATTTTTTTCAAAAAAAAAAAATTGCCTACCTACCTACCCTATATTTTTTCAGCCTGAAAGCAGAAACAAACATATTTTTTTTCTAGGCCTAATATTGAAATTTGCCATTGGTTATCATCTACATACATATTTTTGGCAACAATCAGTATTGTTTTTGTGAGAGTGGATTGTTGAATTTTAAGCCTTATCAAGGCTTGATAAATATTTGAAGTAGCTGAAAATCTCCGTGTTACCATGGCAACCTAGATACATAACTAACTGATTCAACTTGATATATGTTTCTAGTGTTAAGTTGATACTTTGATATAAGCATTCTGGGCAAACCCGCACTAAGGCGTTTGCCTCTAACACGCTCCTACATATTGGGCGGCTTTCCAAAAGAATAGTCAAAATAATTCTATAATTTACATGTATTCATCAAATTGAATATTTCATCCAAATTTGTGACCATGTGGGCCAAGTTTGAAGTCAAGTGGTTTAAGCTGTTGGGAGAAGTCTAAAATGTAAATGTTTGGAAACACTTACTGTTCCTGCTACAGTCTTAGCAGGTGCCTGTTGTCCTCCTTTGGTTGGCAAGACAACACCTTTACTGTACTCTGATAAATTAAAAAAAAAAATCATCAATAAGTCAGGATCTAAACAAAGCTATAAACACTATTTGTTGAAAGGGAAAAACTAAATGAATGTAAAGTCATAAGAGCATCAGGGTTTTGTTTTTATTTTTAATGCTGATATTTCCAGTTAAACTGGAAACAATAGCTTTGGGTGAGTTGAAAGCTGAGAAAAAAGTTTCAAACAGAATGTAATAAAAATAACTCATTGTTTAGGAACAAGGTCCTGTACTGTGTTATAGAGGAGGGGGTAGAAATTCAGATTTCTTAACTCTTGAGTTGTAGTTCAAGCATAGAAAAGTTTTATCTCTTTCCTACCGTTTTGATAATGTCTTATGATCTTACCATGCCTTAAATCATTTAAATAATCTGCCATCTTTTGTCTCACCAGAGTGACTCCAGTCTTCCGTAGAAATTCCTTTAATTTGAAGGCTTCATCCGAGTCATTAGAGACTGTGACATTAAACTGATAAAAAAAATGCATCATTTAATACACCACCATGTTTTAAAGTATAACATCATAACATATACAATGTATGGTGCATTTGCGAAGTAAAATCTCTTAACTTACATCAATTTCATCTGTATCATTCTCTTCACTCAGATTTGGTATCTCAAATTTCCCTTTATACTTTTTGTCACTATCCTTAAATTTACCTGCAAAACACATTTTAATATTACAGTGTATTACCTGAAAAATTCAAATCAAATCTTTTCTATCAGTATTCAATCTATTACAATGATACATTATAAATGTTTTACTTATATTCCTTATAGCATTTATTCTTTTTTCATTCTAATAGATTTATTCATATTTAAAAATCTATCATCTCACCTGACCACTCCCCTTTGATAACAAATTCATAGAAAAATATTAATTTGGCTTTTCTGTTATTTGCTGATGCTTCCCCTTCAATGCTTGTTACCTCCTTGATTTCACAGAAATCTGGAATAGTCAAAAGCATACTTTATTGCATCTGAAATTCACTAAATTTCCATTATTTTTTTCATTTTTAACTCTGTGACGACTTTTTAATTTCCATAATTGTTTTCATTTAGGACCTATCATTTCACTTTCCTTCCAATTAACATATGACTTTGTTTGTTACATAATTTCAGTGGGTTTCAATCACAGGCACTTCTTTCGTATAAAGGGCACCCCCCTACTTATTTTTACCACTAGGTCCCTAACTCATCTTCAGGCACTCCCACATCAAGCAAGCTTGTATTAATTTTTATAATATATCAATCATTAACGTACTTTAAAATGACATCATTTGCTTCAATAGACTTTATTCTTGTCAATCAAATCATTTCAGACGTCTCTAGTTGAGCCTCTTTATTGTAAAACATTCATTTATTCCTTGAAAATTATGTACATACATATTATTAATAATGAGTTTTGGTGGAATACAACTTCAGGTTGGGGGTAGGATAAAACCAGACGTCAGAGTTTTCCATTCCAAGGTCTCTGGTTTTATCCTTCATTGTAACCCTAACTGGAAATTTGTATCCCAACAAAAGTCTTTATCGAGGTTATTTTCGAGGAATAAATGAGAAGTTTAAACCAGAAGTCTCTGTCAAGTCTGTGGCTCTACTGGTTTGTACTTATAATAAAGGAGGAGAAAAGTAGCAGTTGGGACATAAAACTTTTATAAAAGCAATAAATAGAATAATGATCCTTGATTAAGTCTCTTTTTGTGGCAAGATTGCAATAAGACTACAACTGTAGGAGTAGCTTTTAATAAAAGTTTACAGAAGTAGGAGGAAAAAGTTCACAGAAATTTCTATTTTTAGTAACCATGGCAACACTGTTTATCGAAATCAAAAACTGATATGCGAAATTATGTATCTTAGAGTAGTCTACTTGTGTGCCAAGTCATATTGAAATCAGACCAAAACTGTAGAAGGAGTAGCATTTAAAAAGTATTTCACAGAAATTTCTATTTTTATTAACCACGGCAACACCGTTCATCGAAATCAAAAACCGATATAAAGAATTATGTATCTAAGTGTAGACTACTTGTGTGCTAAGTCATATTGAAATCAGACCAAAACTGTAGGAGGAGTAGCATTTTAAAGGAATCTCACAGAAATTTCTATTTTTAGTAACCACAGCAACACCGTTCATCGAAATCAAAAATCGATATATAGAATTATGTATCTTAGTGTAGACTACTTGTGTGCCCAGTTATATTGAAATCAGACCAAAACTGTAGGAGGAGTAGCATTTTAAAAGAATCTAACAGAAATTTCTATTTTTAGTGACCACGACAACATCGTTCATCGAAATCAAAAATCCATATATAGAATTATGTATCTTAGTGTAGACTACTTGTGTGGTAAGTCATATTGAAATCAGACCAAAACTGTAGGAGGAAATGCATTTTAAATGTATTTCACAGAAAATTCTATTTTTATTAACCACGGCAACACCGTTCATTGAAATCTAAAACTGATATACAGAATTATGTATCTTAGAGTAGACTACTTGTGTATTAAGTCATACTGAAATCAGACCAAAACTGTAGGAGGAGTAGCATTTTAAAAGAATCTCAAAGAAATTTCTATTTTTAGTAACCACAGCAATACCATTCATCGAAATCAAAAACCGATAAACAGATTTATGTATCTTAGTGTAGTCTACTTGTGTGCCAAGTCATATTGAAATCAGACCAAAACTGTAGAAGGAGTAGCATTTTAAAAGAATCTCACAGAAATTTCTATTTTTAGTAACCACAGCAACACCGTTCATTGAAATCAAAAATCGATACATAGAATTATGTATCTTAGTGTAGTCTACATGTGTGCCCAGTTATGTTGAAATCAGACCAAAACTGTAGGAGAAGTAGCATTTTGAAAAATTGTTTACAGACGGACAGACAGACAGACAGACAGCTCGACAGACGATGGACTCATTATTATCGCATAAGCTCTTCTGGTCTCTGACCAGTAGAGCTAAAAATCAGGCTCAACCAGAGACGTCTAAAACGATTTAATTAACAAGTAAAAAGTGTCTTGTTGAAGCGAACAATGTCATTTTAAAGTAGGTTAATGATTGATATATTAACAGAATACAAGCTTGAAGCAGGGATGCCTGAAAGTGAGTTATGTACCTTAATTGTAGTAAAAATAAGTAGGGGGTGCCCCATACACAAAACAAGTGCAAGTGGTTTCAATAATAAGCATAATATGACTTATAGTATTTATATAATTTAATAAAGATGTAAAACAAAAAAAAGCTTACGTTTATCATCTTCTATTACAATACCAGTCAGAAGTTCCTTCAGTCTGTCCTTTGACCAACCTGTGGCATTCTTTTCCACCCTGTAATACATATTCAGCACACATGTCACTCTTAGAATTACTTATAAATTATCTGAGTTACTTATAAATTATCTAAGTCTATCATTAAATGTATGTATTTGTTAGATGGGTTGAAGAGGTTTTTTTCACGAGTAATGTCACATGCATTGTTAAGCAACATTCGTATGACTAAGAAAAACCTTTTCTATGTTGATATCACGTTACTATAAGTACTTATTTTCTTGCTTTAAAAATTACCTATGAAATACTGCTGTCATTACACCGTGTCAAAATCAGACAATATGATTAAGTTTTTCACTTCGATAGATCGATTTGCTCACACATCTTTTTTTCAGAGAGCTAAAGAGAGATTGTATGTCCCTACCCGCCTGTTATCCTTACCAGTGCCAATTGTTTACGTTAGTTCCATCGGGTCTCTCCTCCACAATCCAGCGTGGATCCCCTTCACCCCACTTCGCCATACCTGTCGACAATATCTGTGTACTTGTTAAATATTTTTAAATAAACCTTCTTATACCCTCGGAATTTTTTTTCTCTTTCTATGTCTTAGAAAACTCACGTTGTTATTTTTTTTTTAACCGGAACGGGGTAGCAGCGCCACAGCAGCGAATTTTCTAGAATGAACAGTAACTCTTGCTTTGCCTAACCCGATCCCGATCTATAAAGTAAACGCAACAACTCTATTACCAAAATATAAGAATATAAATCTAACAATTTTTTTTCTCTATTTATTTTTTATAAGAGACACTTAATTAAAAACGAACATAAGTATGAGACTTCTTTCCATTTTCAAGCGTAAGTACGTATTTATAAGTTTATGCAAGTAATGATAACCTGTCAGAGACAAGCAAACTGATTTTCAGCAATTAACAAAATCCAGGCATTTACTATCAGGGAGGGGTGTCCCGTTTTTTTCTAAAATAATAATGTTATTTTAGTATGAGAATGCTTATTTGAAATGTCGGTTGTGTACCCCACCCCACCCCTTCTTTTATTTCTCTAAGGTTTTTAAAGTATAAGACCAGAAAAGGATTTTAACTTTTGCTTCTTTTTTTTTTTTTTTTTTTTTTTTATAAATTGTCAATTATTTTTCTAATTGCCCCTTTCAAATGGGACATAAGGGTGCCTGAAATCATTTTAATTGGCTCTGGCGCTCCCTCTTCATCTGGAAGTATATTCAGGACGGTTTTCTGGTGAATATTCCTCGTATATTGTTTTTGCATGGTAACTCACATTTTAGCGATAATAATCTTTGAAAATAAAAACAAGAACATATATGTACTTTTAAAATTCCTGTACAAAGGTCCTCTATTAAACAAGCTTATTCAAAGAATTCGTGTCCCCCGCTGAGTGAAAAAGAGGAGGATGCTCAAATGGGAGGGGGGGGGTCGTACCCCCACCCCCTCCCTTCACTGAATTTTCAGAATTATTAAATTACGCACTAAAGCAAATTAAAAAAAATCCAACAGGGATATAAAGAATTGACTGCTTATTCTTTAAATGTGTATATACATGTATGAAGATTCTTTTAATATAAAATACTTATCACACAATGATAATATTTTGTACACGCCATACGTCATAACATCTTCATTTCAGGATGCTTAAATATTATCATTTGGTCCTTAACTGATAAAAAAAAAGTCCCCCAAAAAGGATCAACCAGGATTTGAACCGGGAGCCTCTGGCATGCGAAGCGAAAATCTTTCCCCTCCACCACTGACAAACTTGATTTAAGGAGGAAATAAATGCAAACAATAGGTCACATACATATTGTATACATGTTTACATCACGTTCATCTACAGTGCTAAATGTTACAAAAAACCAAGTGTGTCTAGTTTAGCCTCTACTAAACCATTTGACTTCAAAATCAATAGCGAGATATTGCTTGGAAACGAAAGTGTTACAGACAGAAATACAGCCGAACGGAGGCACAGACAGAAGGGAGTGGGGGTATAGGGAGTTATCATCATGGTATAAAATTCAATTGCAACAAGCTTATTCAGAGAATTTGTGTCCCCCGCTGAAGGAAAAAAGGAGGAGGATGCTCAGAATGGGAGGTCACCCCCCCTCCCCGGATTTGTATAATTATTAAATTATGTACTGAGGCAAACGAAAAATGCCAATTTGGGTTTAAAGATTTGACTGCTCATTCTGTGAAAGATTCTCTTAATATAAAATAATTATCACACATCAATAATACCGGTAATAGTTATATATCGATAATGTAACTCTTCTTTTTTTAAGTCTCAATAAGCCGTTTTAAATACACTGTACACCTTTTTTATTATGCGCCCGGATCGATAGATCCAGGGCGTATATTGTTTTTGTCCTGTCTGTCTGTCTGTCTGTCTGTTTGTTTGTTTTGTTTGTTTGTCTCGAACGTTAACCTTCACCATAACTTTTGAACCATGAAAGATAGAGACTTCATATTTGGTATGCATACTACACCAATTAAATTCTTTCAAATGACACCAAGGTCAATGACCTTGTGACCTTAACTGTGGCCTTTATGCTAAAAATAGCTTTTTTCTGCAAACTTTAACCTTCACCATAATTTTTGAACCATGAAAGATAGAGACTTCATATTTGGTAAGCATACTCCACTAACCAGGTTCTTTCAAATGACACCAAGGTCAATGATCTTGTGACCTTGACTATGACCTATATGCTAAAAATATCTTTTTTGAACCTCGCTATAACTTTTGAACCATGAGAGATTGAGATTTCATATTACGCATACTCCACTTATCAAGCTCTTTCAAATGATATCAAGGTCAATGACCTTGTGACCTTGACTGTAACCTTAATGCTAAAAATAGCTTTTTTCCGAACTTTGTTGCCGCCGGGCGCATAGTGTTTCACAAACATATTTTGTTTTTTACTTATACATAGGTTCTCTTTTCATGTCTCAGTCAAATACGATATATTTATAAAAAAGTTTATTGATCATTACTATATACCTCATAATTATGTTTGCTTAATAGACAGAAACAGAGAAGAAAATTTTCAAAGATTGAATCAATGGGCTTTCACAATAAAAACAATACACCCTCAGTCCCCCCAACAGATCTCCTCACTCTGGGGTCATAAATTCCACAACTTTTGTAATATCATAACCATGTAACTATAGTCTATATCGTATATAGTGGAGAGAAGATTTTTAGACAAGTCATTTGTTTTTCGCTAAATGATCATTAGAACCCTACCGTAACCCCTGCTACTGGGGCCACGAATTTCAAAATATTGGTAGAAAAATCAATATATGTACATGTACTTATTTCAATAAAAATAGCTTGACTGCTTGGTGTCCAGGAGTAAAGTAATGATATCATTAATTTTGATGGTTTTAGCCCCACACCTAAGGCCCTCGGTGGGACCTTGAAAATCAAGATGAAATTTCTCCATCTTTACCGAGAGAATATCCTAACTTGTGAGAATTCATTGAACTTGGTTCAGCAATTCCAGACAAGACGCTCAAAATGTTCAAATGTTAACGCATGACGACGGACGAAAAGGGACCACTTGCAATTGGTCTCCTGATCATAAGTAGCTGCAGAACTGTAGCTCTCCGAAAAATATATTGATAGACCGGAGAGCTACAGTGCCACCCATTGAAAAAAATGTATATATATTTATTGCGCACAAAAAGTTGTGCTTGTGTATGGATTAATTCTTCCAAATTCTTACCTCAATTGCAAAAAATTTAGATTTAAAAAAAAATCCGTACTCTTCTACTAAGTACTTTGAATTCGTAGTTGACATCTACACTAAGCGCGTTGGGCCGAATTATCTTACAAACCAAAATGGCAGTATAAACAGACGAAATTTTCGATGATCTCGATTTCAGGGCCAGGAGGGCTATAAACATCAACTATAAGGTATGTTTTGTTGTGGAAACAGTGAAAGATTGAGTTAGGAATACACGGTTCGTAATATTTTGAGATTATAGTTTCAAAAACATTGAGAAATAAATTGATAAACAGCGCACTTTTTTGTGCGCAATAAATATACAGTTTTTTCAATGGGTGGCACTGTAGCTCTACGGTCTGTCAAATTATTTTTTTGGAGAGTTACAGATCTGCAGCTAGATCATAAGTGACTCAGTTATACACGTTGAAAATCGTGCGCATTTTCATCGCTATATTTTCTCCTAATTTTTCAAAGCAACCTTTAGATGTTTTAAAAAACGGGTAATGATCGACCAGGGTATAATTTTCTTAATGTATTCAGGTAAATATGTAAATTTATTGCCCTTGAAATTCTGAGTCTTTCATAATCGTTCTCACCGTGCCACACTTTATAAAATGACTCTTCAAAGGACGATTACTTCTCCCAATAGACTTCGGCCTATCATTATTTCTTTGCACTCGATACTTTTAACTGCACTCAAACCTTCAACTATCAGTTTATTTCTACTCAATAAAATTTTCAGTATCAAACACGCTGAAGAACAGTCTTAACTGGAATGAGAAATATTGTTTTCTTTCGGTCAGAATCATTCAATAAAAATATTCCAGTTTGGATTTATTATAAGATAATTGTTTATTTGATAACATTTCTTTCTCAGTTTTATCATTTTATGAAATAATAATAGCAGGAAATAAGTCTTCTACAGTATTGAGTGCCAATAGATCTTGCTGGGAGATAGGGTCTATTGATCCTGGGATAATTGTTAGGAACACAGCGTCAGGAAGTCAACACAAACGATAAAATAGGAAACATTGTCAAATTAATGGTTTATTACCGATTTCTGGAATACACAAATAGTGCACTATACAAAAAGGATGACCGAATCTCGAAAACTTAATTTTTTCCTTAAACAAAATTGTATATATAGATTGCATGCAGTAAACAGAATTACACACAATTCTGAAAAGAAAAAAAAACTTTTTATAAAGTGGACATATATATGTATTTATTTCACAAAATTTTTAATGACTTTATAAAACAAGGATTTTATCCTTAAAAGCTTGTTTTCCCGAAATCCAAACAACCTTTTTTTTTAAACTTCTTATATTTACATAATAAGATACATTACTTATATATTCTTTCTAAAAACATTATATAATGCTCCTATTTCTGAGTAATAATACTTATACAAAAGATAATCAAGATTTAAATGACTTGAAAAGTCTACAGTGATCTTAAGTTTGAAGTCAAGCGTTTAACTTTTTTTAAACTCTATATATCAAGCAATGTCGTACTTTCATCACAATTAGAGATGACGACATTTTAAACACTGTTGTACTTTCTGAACAGAAAGCTAAAGCCTTTTTTTCTAAATCTAAAACATAAACCTCTAATTACCGTCATTAACTCCATACGAGGAAACTAGTAATTTATTCACAATTCATTTTAAAGTTTCTAAGGGTTTTTAAAAATCAGCATATCCCAGATTTTAAATGTTTTCATTTCAAACAGATATTTCAGTGCATATAAAGGTAAAATTTCAAGCTTGTGTCTGAACATTTCAACAAAGCAAAGGTTGCAATTAAAATCGATCTATATAAGTCAATGTCCTACAGGTATGCAATGATAATTGTTTACGTTCAGTTGTATATCATTTTCATTGGTAAATATGTTGTTCACTTGAATCTATCCCCGTATTAGCATATTGACGATATCTAGCAAGACTCTGAAGCCAGCAATGAAAGTTAATTCTCTGACTTTCGCTGAACCAATTACTCGCAAAAGCGGTGGCAACAAGCATGTGAACATCATATTCATACTGGTTTCCACAACGTGCATACTGCTCGTACGAACGTTTGATAGCCGCAAAAATTTTGTCGCTGTCCACATACGACGGTTTCTTCAACAGAAATCTAGCGACGAGTAAGGACAATTTGGCTACTGTTTGCGGAGTGTAACCATAGTCATAGTCCGGGTCAAACTCGGAGTACTGGACTTCGAGAATTTCATTTCTCTTCTGTTGAAGCTCGTCCTTAGTTTTCCTGTACTCACGTTCAAGGACACGGTTTTTTGACTCGGAGATTTGCATGTCCCTTTTCAGTGACTTCAATTGAAATTCCAAAGACGAAATCTTTGCAAGGAGTCCCGAAAGTTCCAAAGAGGTAGCTTCATTTTCTAGGGATATTGCTGCTAAAGATTTGTACATGTAAGAATCGTAGTTTTCATCCTTCAAAGAAGCTGAAATGCCCTCGCAAGACATTTGATGGTTTGCAAGTTCTGACCGATTCACCATCTCGGAACACCCTGCGCACTTTATAGGGGTATATCCACAGACCTGTAAATGGGATTTCAACCGTTCTAATTTCACAACTAACTTACATCCACGTTCGCTGTTATCACACATGACATCAAAACCATTCACAAGATTACGAAGACAAAGTACCGGCTTTACGTCCCTCAGAGCCATAGTACTTCTGCACTCAGGACATGAATTTACTCGCGGTTTACTCATCCAAGTCTCCAGGCAGCAATAGCAAAAAGTATGTCCACAAGGCGTCAACACAGCATCCTCTATAACAGAACTGCAAATTCCACATATCAGATTAGGGTCCACCGACCCAACAAAACGATGCGTACTGAAACCCATTGCAAAAAGTTCCCCTCAAACCTTCATCTTACACACCTACTGCTGGGAAATTTCTAACTTTGTTAAGTGTCATTTTCTGACAAATAAAATCAAACAAAAGTTTATCAAGTTGTGGACAGATCCTCACTCGGCGATCTTCCGAGTTTTGTGGAATGTAATTTGATGTTACTCGTCCGACGCTCTTTTCCGACTGTGCTTACTCTCCGTGGAGCAAGGTACCGTGTATTGACGCTCAAAATCGATACCACAACTGATCAGGAGATAAATTGACACTTCTCATCGTATTCGCTTATCATCCCTAATAATTAATATCCCCACATGAAAAAAATCTTCCATTATCTGAGAAAAAAAATATTGCTTAAAAATTAGCAAGTGTTTATTGGGCGAGTCTTGTTGTCTGATAACAGTTGATATTCTTCTTCCCTGCTGTGTCGAAGGAGATTATGTTCATTACGAAAATAAGTTTAAAATGACAGAGCAAATACACAGAAATAGTTCATTTAAGTGGAAGTCACGCTTCAAATAACAGTGTACTTCTGATCTCAACATCAAAACCTCGGCTTATTCCAAATGCTTATAGTGTAGTGCTTATAATTCCATTTCCTGTGTGCAAATATTGCCGACTGCATTAATGATTACCTTCAAGCTATTGTCCTAATGCCCTCATCTTAATAAAATACTAATTTTACCGAGAAGTTCGCATTTTATTTGCTTTTGGAGAATATTTTACAGGAAAAAGTAAATACTCGTCGGATTTTGTCTTGACGAGGAATATTTCAAATATTCCGCCAACGAATTTGCTTATTACCGGTATCAACTCAACAGTTCGATTGTATTTTTAACATGCAGACTTTTTCATTTTTAGATAAAACGAATGGCAATAATGTCTTATTTAGAGGGAAGAAATGTCCTTTCAAACTTTTTTTCCCATATTCACTTAGTGGGCATATTTTTCAATTTTTTAAATTATTGTGTGTGTGGATAGGGAGGGGGGTGTAGCAATAAATGTATTGCAGTTTGCACTATATGTTTTTACGAAAGAAAAACGATTGTGATAATATGTCAAACATACACCAATGTAAGTGTGTCATGTGTTGGACAAGATGAGGGTGCATTCTAAGTTATTCTTCCCTTGAGAACCTGTTGATTGGAATTCGCCGCAACAAAACCTTCAAGTTACGTTAATTAAGCAAACGCCATATGGCCATTCTGAATAATTCACTGATAATAGTGCATCAGAACCGCAGAGGCATCGGCGAGTGATTTTCGATAGATCATGTGACCTTTGATCCGGTAACAGTTCCGATAATCCTGGGATCTCTCCGAGAGATTCTTACAGCATTCCTGCTATAATGATATACATAATTCACAGCGACCGCCTGTCGGATTTTGCCTCTCTTGATATTTAGGGTCTTAAGATAACTGTGGACCTTTTTTGTTTTTTGGTCTCCCGTGTGCCTGATCTGAATCGGTGCTTAGAACACATTAAATGGCAATAAATACCCACACTTACATCCATTGTAAATTTAAACAAAAACTATAATATGACCCTCGTAAATTGTTTCATGAGCAATGCACGGTGCGAAATATAAATCAGTTTTATATATCGATTTGTAAAAGAACTATTACTCAGATCATCGTGCACGTGGTAAGCCACGGTGGAAAAGATATATTATGCTCTGGCATCAACCATTTAAAACTTACGGTCAAGTTAAAATTTTACAAAAGGAGGTCAATCATCAAGGTCAAAAGGTAAAACCTGGTACCCAAGAGCTCTTTTAACATAGAATATATGTGTGAAATTTGAATGCCATCGATATTTTCAGTTAACACAGTCTTTTATCATACCTGCCTACCTCCCAAATTCACAATTACAGCGATTTATTAATATTTCAGCCCTTCGGTCAAGGTTAATTTGTACTCCCTGGGTACCTATAAATTCATCGCACTGACCCCAATAACTGCATAATGCTATGCAGTTTAAATATCTATTTATGAAGATTGTGTGCTAAAAAAGCACTTAACTCTCAAACTCTCATTTATAACTATTGCCTAATCTGGCATTGTTCCAAAGAAGTTTTAGAATTCAGAGAATTTAAAACTATGTAAACCAAAGTAATTGAGAATGCGGGTGATCGGGGAACATGACATTCAGTCTGTCAATAATGAACATTTTTTGACTTTTGGCCATTATACATTAATTTTTACATGTAAAATTCCAGGCATATTCTTATTCATTGGAGTTTACAAGAATCAGTTTCTCAATTGTGAAAATTGATATTGAAGTGCATTTAAATGATCAATTTTTCCTCATTGGTGTGTGTATGTCATTTCACAGACAAATCATCTTATGAAATTGTTGCTAATTGTGGATATTGTTCTTCTGACTTTATTTCTTACACAAAAGATACTTCGCTAGTCTTATTCACCCAACTTCCTATGATACATTGTGATCGATCAGTTCACCTGTGATTAATTATGCCAATTTCATCTGATTGTTCATGCTTTTATTGTTGTTTTTTTTTCAATTTTTTTCACTGCAATCACAGAAATATACAGTAATACCCACACATCAGTGATTGCCAGTAAATGCAAGCTAGCCCCTTGTACTTCACTAGCAAAGAAGCCACGAACGTTATTCTATTGTGGCGGTAGATGGGTTCGATCGTTGATAGCAAGATCTCAGTTAGCAAAGCAATGACCAAAGATTTAGGAAGCCTGCATTCTAATCCCGGTCTGGTTTGTCGCATTTTTCTCCTATTTTGATGCATTTGGTGCCGTGACCAGGATTCGTACTTTGTTACAGTTTGTTTGCATATTGTTTAAACGTCCATCTCGAGAATTTTTCACTCATATGGAGACGCAACCATTTGCCGGTGGAGAGCAAGAAATTTTGTCGTATACTCGGCATTCACGGCCATTGAGCAGAGGCAGATCTTTTTCGTGCCAGAACCTACTGCGACACGTGAACGCGGCTCTTACGGTCTCATCCGAGGGACCGGTCTCCACGTGTGGGATTCGAACGTAAGGATTATCTCCGAATACCCAAACTCCGTCACCATTAGCGGAAAACACCCTGATTTCACATAAAAATGATAAAACCATGCATATTAAAATAAGGTGTTTTTTAATGGTCTTTTGACGCATTATTTTGTCCCCCTTAATTTGAGTCTGTCCGTCTAGCTGTCCGTCCGTCCGCCTGTCTGTCTGTCTGTCTGTAACGCTTTCGTTTCCGCACGATATCTCAAGAACCCTTTGAGCATAGCAACTCCCTATGGCATAAAGAAGAACCCTATTGATTTTGAGATCAAAAGGTCAAACGTCAAGGTCATAAATCAATAAATTCTGTCTGTTATAACACTTTCGTTTCTGTGCGATATCTCGAGAACCCTTTGAGCTTTCGCAATGAAATTTTGCACAACAACTACCTCTGGTCTAAGGAAGACCCGTACTGATTTTGAGGTCAAAAGGTCAAAGTTCAAGGTCGTAAATTTATACATTCTGTCTGTGTGTAACACTATCGTCTCCGGGCGATATTTCAAGATCTTTTGCAATGAAATTTTATACCAAACTCCTAGGGCCTCTCTCATCCCTCTCAAAGTGCCCCGCCCCGTTTGTTTTATTAGTATTTATCGTATTAAATGTCGCTTGGTACTATTTTTAGCACAGGGTCATGCGAAGATTTATTACGTATAATACAGGTTGTTGTCGGACTTTCTATTCTTATTGCATCTATTAGAACTGTTTAATAAAGGCTAAATTAGAAACCATGCATTGTGTAAAATTGTGACAATAGCGAACGTTGATCTATGAATATATACATGTACATGTTTGCATATAATTTCCGATAATACAAAGTGGTTCCGTGGTGTAGTGGTATGTCTCTCGCTTGAAATGTAGAAGGCCCCGGATTCGAGTCCCGCACAATACATAATTTTTTTTTTTGAAATACTTTTTTCCACTAAAAGATAGCATTCAGCATGTAAAATTTATGACGTCAAACTCATAAAATCATCATTACAGTAGTGTGATAAATATTCTACACAAAAAGAATTTTCTTATACACATAATGAGAATAAGCAATCATTTCTTCATATCCATATTGGCATTTTTTATTTGCTTCAATATACATGTATACATTTAATAATTCTACAAATTCAGTGGGTGGGGAGATCCGAAATACCCCCCACCCCCGAATTGCGCATGGTCTTTTTTCCCTAAGCGGAGTACACAAATTCTCCGAATTAGCTTGTTGAACTTGACTATTACAGTATGCAGAAAATGTCGCCACAGTCGCATTCATTTACAAACAGCGCAGTTTTTCGAAAGTGACGGAGTTAGGAGGTTTGGCGATAATTCCGTACTCCGCCACTCTGGAGCAGACGTTCTTACCACTGTATCACGCGGGAAACCCTTGTAATTTTTAGACACCAAATTTCAAAATATAATATTATGGGTATTGTGGTCAATGGAAGCGGAGTTTTAGGACCTTTTTAAAATAGAAAATAGTATATTCCCCATATGACCTTCATGATGAAAATTCTGAAACCGTATAACATATCTACAGGATCTCTAGCTCAAATCATCTTGTTAAACAAGAGGCCCATGGGCCACATCACTCACCTGAGAAGCTTTGTCCATGCTATACATAACCAGATTTCCCCCTTGTAATACCTGTTGCGACCCCATCGTACCCAACGGGTCATAATTTGAACAATTTAAATTCTACACTACCCAAGGATGCTTCCACATAAGTTTCAGCTTTTCTGGCCAAGTATTTCTTGAGAAGAAGATTTTTTAAAAAAAATTTCTATTTATTTCTATGAAAACCTTTTGATTCCCTATTGTGGCCTCGCCCAACCCCCAGGGGTCATGGACTGAAATTTAGAATCTACACTACCCCATGATGCTTCCACATAAGTTTCACAGTAGTTCTACCCCATGATGCTTCCACATGTTTCAGCTTTTCTGGCCCAGTGGTTCCTGAGAAGATTTTTTAATGACCCCACCTTCTTTTGTCTTTTCTTGATTATCTCCCCTTTTGAGAGGACCTGACCCTTCGTTTTTATAATTTAAATTCCCCTTCACCCAAGGATGCTTTGTACCAAGTTTGGTTAAAATTGGCCCAGTGGTTCTTTAGAAGAAGTCGAAAATGTGAAAAGTTTACAGACGGACAGCTAGATGGACTGACAACGGACAAAATGTGATCAGAAAAGCTCACTTGAGCCTTCGGCTCAGGTGAGCTAAAAAAAACCAAAAATATTTTTAAAAACTGGAATGCATATGGCTAGTGGGTAAAACCTGAGAATTGTTTAAAGAACCAACGGCCTTTTTAGAAAAGAACTTCTTACTTTGACTACAAAAGTTAAGTGACAGTAAAATTTTGCACAATTTATAAATGTTTCAAATTCCTTGCAAAAAAATATCGTTCTATATTCCTTTTAAAAAATTTATCATGAACTTTTAATGTAAATTAGAAATTTACATGAACAACTTATGTTCTTAGTCATAAGCTCTTTCGTAAAATCTTCTGTTGTAAATCTATCAGAAAAGAATTTCCACTAGTTACTTTCCACATTTATTCATTAATTTTTTAAAAAAGAGAATTATATAAATACACAACATCATACTAAAAGCTTTCTTGTAACTTGTAACTAAATATACATCTCAAGACAAGACAAAAATAAAATTTAAAATTATACTGTCTTTACCCCTCTCATCTTCAGTAAGAAATAAGTGAGGCCTTGCCTCTATCAAAATCGTTTTGAATACTGGATAATGTATTCACAATCTGTAGATTATGTAATTGATTGTATACATTGATTTCAGTTACAACTTATCCACTGATCACCAATTCAATATACATGTTACACAATTCCCATGACTCAATTTGGTAAATGTGTACATAATAATTTTCCATGTGGCTCAAAGAAAATACTGGATAACTGGTAAGAGGAATATGGAATATTGCAGATCCCCAGTTTCCATGCAAGTATGGTCGAAACTTTGCTTATAATTCTTTGTGAATGAACCTACAATACTAACATTATCACTTACTGTGGAATCATTTTGAATTCTTAGGGGTCAATGTTCACGGGCATGCAAAATTTCATTGGTTCACTGGGGTGTAATTTTGGTGGCTGTCTTGAATGTACATGAGATTAAATGTATACATATGTTGAAAAAATAATTCTTTATGGGGATGTAAATTCTTGGAAAAAGGTGACCCACATAATCCACACACATCTGTCCTAATGATTCTACAGTATACAAAATGTACATGTATATGAAAGCAAGTGACTATAAGTAACCTAAATCTCATTTCAGATATATCTGATTTGAAAAATGAGTGGGAGTTAAAGTTTGATAGGACTAGCTTGTACAAAAAATCAACCAAAAAACTTCTTTAAAAATAAGACATGTTCGTGAAACACAAAGGTCCCTGTATCACAGCTAAGGGAAAAGATTCAAGTTCATATGCAAGTCAATCTAGAACAAAACATCAGAACAGTTGTTACCTAAAGAAAGGTCTTTCTACAAGGATGTGCCTGTGAAATAAAAGAGCCCTTGCATTAACCATTCAGATATTGATGACCAAGGTTAAAAGTTCTTCAAAATTGGGTTAAACTCCAATATCAAGGTCCAACGGTCAAAAACTGTTGGTACACAAACGAACTGCTTGAAACAAAGACAATACATTTGAAATATTATTGCTCTGGCACCTAGGACCTACCATTCAAAACTTACGGTCAAGTTAAAATTTTTCAAAAGGAGGTCAAACATCAAGGTCAAAAGGTAAAACTTGGTACCCAAGAGCTCTTTTAACATGGAATACATGTATATGTGTGAAATGTGAAAGCCATAGATAATCATTCAAAAATAGTGTCCAAGGTGAAAGCATTAAATGAGATAAAACTCAAAGGACAAAACTGTTGGTTCCCATCAGAAGTTCATATCACAAGAAGTAAACAAAAGAAAGCCCTTGCACTACCTGTTCAAAATTTCTGGTAAAAAAATCATTTTCACATTTTCTGCCTTTGCATCTTTGTTTGAAAGGGCATAAATATAAACAGAATAAAACCTTCTTTGTCTGTCTATGAAATACTGAGACCTGATTATAAAGCTTGTTAAGTCTCATTTGCACATGTAAGGAATTGGTCCTGTGGCCCTTTGTCGCTTTCTGGCCTCCATTCCAGAGAAAAACTCTCGAATGTCCTCCTCTCTTACAACCTAATGAAATAAGTCATTATATTACACAGGTAAATCACAAAATTCATGGAAAGAAGTTTTTTTCTCATGTACTGAAACCAATGGTTTAAAATTTTCTTTAGGTTTAGGTTAAATACTAGGGATGTCAAAATATTAATTTTCCTTAGTCGAACATTCGATTGCATTATTCGAACGATAGTCGACTATTCGGAGCATTTATTATCTTTTTATAGCACAGTGTTTTTGAAAGCTTATTGATTAAAATAAATTGGAAATTTGAGATAAATTGGAAATGGAGAATTGTAAACACACACTATCCACACCTCCGATGAAAATGTAAACTACTGTTTGTTCAATTAATGATTGCCCAAGCTACACATCAAAATGTCTTTCATGTCAGATTATTGTTTTAATAATTATCAAACTTTAAAACTTCACGGCTATGCAAATGTTGTGTTCCTAAGCATTTGAAATTCCTAGAGTTTATAAATATAATTGGTACAAGTCAATTAAATAATTTTAGCAGTCCAGTATAGCGTTGCATAATTTTCTACGTACGAGGGTTGTTAGAAAAGTTCGCGGACACATTGAATTACGGAAAATCTATTGTGTACTGTGAAGTATGACCTATGTCTGAATGAATTCCTATATTTTGTTTATTGGTATGTAAAAAATCAGGTCCATTTAATAAAATCTTGAAATTTTAGAACTATTTTTACTATGGGGTCATGGGATTCATGGAGCAATCACTTGACGTAAGCGACGTGACAACCAAATTTCAACCCGTTAAGCGTTGTCGCAGTTATATTTATAAATCTTTCATTTCTTAGATTTTTCTTATCATTTTTCTACTTTAAAATTGAATATCTATATCAAGACATGTTACTTTTCTACTATAATGTCTTTTGTACTGATTCGTATATTATTGAGATCTTAAAAAATAGAAAAAAAAGTCTATGCACTTAATCGATCAGGTATGGAAACTAAGCAAAACCATATGGGTGCAACGCAGCGTCCATGCCATAAGGGGGTATTGAAGTATCGATGGAGTTAATCATTTAAAATGTCCCTCCTTCCATTCTTATGACGCTATAACCATTTGAAAACTTGTTCTTTGTATGTGTAGGAAATTTCCGGCGGCATCTTGAACATTTTAATCTCTTTTTAGACATTTCTCTGTCTGCACACATAATTTTTACGTAGTGCAGTGCTCCACGACGCTCAATGACATTCCGATTTTTGGCTGTCTTTTTACGCGTTGATCATTTATAAACGGCTATAAAACAGTCATATACCGTCCAATTTAGTTCAAAATTTTTCCCAGTGACGTTTCCTGCATACTTAAGCTGCAGGTAAAATATCATAAATCTCTTTGCGCTACAATTGTGCAATTTTTAATTTTTAATAAAGGGTCTTTGTGATGTAAACGTGCCAAAATGTAGCATGCTCCGTGAAGCAACTTTTATCAAAATAAAAATGCTGTATATTTTTCAATAATCACCGGAGAGCACCAAATTCTTGTATATTTATTGGAAAAAAGGTAAAGATTTTATCTGGAAAGTTTGACCGGTTTCAAGATAATAGCGTGCTCATAATAGAACTTGTCCGCGAACTTTTCTAACACCCCTCGTACATAACAAAAAAAAGAAGACAGTGATTGAGAAATGATTATCGCGGTATATGTAATTACTGTATTTTCAATATGTACAATGTGGAAAATTACTTATATACTGTGACTGTGATTGAGCTCTTATTCGTCTGTGGACGTGCACTATACAGCTGTATAGTTTGAGAAAGGACCTTTCTTTCTTAGTTTTGAGATGAACATTTCATTATCATCCCCTTTTCTTCCATTTATTTAATATTCGAATGTTGCTTCATTATTCGATCGTCGGTCCATTCGACTGACAGTCGAATAGTCGACTATTCGTTGACATCCCTATTAAATACATATTCCAGTAGCTTAATTTTCAATCCAGTTGATTTTGTCTGACATATTCTTTTTCTTTATATGTCATGTTTTTAATTTTAAATTAAATACAATTTCTTATACATGCACAGGTAGTCTAGCATTCTTGAGGTTATAAGTGAAGACAAATATAATTGATTATTAACAGTTACAATCTTACCTTTCCATTTTCAGCAAACTTTTTCAAATAATCTGTTAGCTCTGACTTCAAGTCATTGAAGCCTGGAAATTATAATAAGAAGCAATTTGGTTTACCTGTCTGATAACATTTTCCTTCTTTAAGGAAAACAAAAAGAATATATTCTGTTTGGAAAATCTATCAAATTCTATCAGTCACTAACCATGAAGAACCTCGACTTGCTGTACCCTGTCCATGGAGGATAAAGCCTGGAGCCCCTTGTCATACTGAGAGGAGGAAACAGCCTTGTCCCTGCCTCGCTCTTCATATTTATGTACAGTGTCTGATTCGTCAATCAGAAATCCAAGGGCTCTTTCTTTGTACATTACCTATCAAATATGACAGAATATGTACTGTAAATATGATAAATTTATCTTCTTTAACAAAGTTTCCATTTGCTTTTCACAACCCCCAAATTCATACATCATTAATCTAGTATAGAACATCAAAAATGTCTAGAAATGCTGCTTTAATACACTAAAACATTTCTTCCATCAAATTAAAAAGATGAATTAATGAATAGGCTTCAGTAAAACTGAGGTAATTGATTTAAGTAAAATAATATTTACCACACAATCTGCACATTTACAAAGCTTTTTCCTCCAACCATCCTGCCAGAATGTCCCCGAGTCCTTAAAAGTTACATCTCTTGTCTGTATATCCTTCAGGAGACAGTGGCTGTCATTTTGTGTGCTTTTACTTGTTCCCTGAAAAATCCATGTCAATGCTGTTTCATAAAAAATCCCTTATAATTTTCTCAAAAAATAAGTTACACACATTATTAGTATCTTGTTTAATACCTTACTTTTTAATAGGAAAAGCACTATTACTTCAAGAAAAAGTCTACCAGTTGTTTTTGTTGTTTGAGTATGTAAATGCTATGTGTTCACCTGATCAGAGCAAGTATCTTCCAGGTTTTCTTTTTTGTTTGGAGAAGTTTCTTCCACATTAACCTCTGCAGATGTATCCTCTGTCACCAAACACTTTGTATCTGAAAATGATAATATAAGGTTATTGAACTTATATTGGTGAATATTGGCACAAGTTGGCTGTTCAAATGCACAAGCTTGTGAGTGCATTTGAAAAGCCAACAAGTGCCAATATTCACCAATATAAGTTCAATAACTCCTTTATTATATAGCTAAAACATTTCCACATAATTTATAATAATTATTCCAACTAAAAAGGCAAATGAATGATTTTTTCAATATCGGTATTCAAATTAACGCCTGTCATGTAAGTGTTCAATATCGCATCATTCCGATGACCCTACAGAGCATTATGATTTGCTTATTCAGGTTTTAATCGGTCTAATACGTACTGAATTTTTAATACTGTAAATAATTTCATTTTGTGTGAAAAATAAACACATCTTACCTATATCCACTTCATTTCGTTAATTTAACTCTGAGAATTTGACCAGACAACTTTTTTGTTTACAACGGGGCATTCGATATTGAACACTGGTATTCGGAATGTTTCGGGCATACTCGTACACGTAAAACAAAGTCAGCGTTCAATAAAACATCAAGATATTGAACGCTAAAATTCTCTCGATTTTTGGTAGTATTTTATTAGAGACTATTCAATAGCTATATAATAATAAAGTATACTGGTCATTTAACTCATTATAAAGGAATAAAGTCTGTTTTATCACAGGCTTTCATTTCAGTTTGTTCTGAAAATCATTTTTTAACAATGTTGTCTCTTCTTATCTTTTTGAAGTACATGTGTACCATATAATCCCTTCAAACTGTTTTTGATGAGTAGTAACAAAGGCATTTAATTTTTTTACTTAAAGATATATCATATATTACCATATATTATATGGCAATGACTTATGATTAAGGAAGTCAGACAAGTTCTCTTCAAAAAATAATTTCATATACTGTAAACGTACTTTTTTCCATGGGGTCATAATTCCGCGGAAAAAAGTACTTCTACAGTAATCAAAACTATCTATCTACAAATATCCACAAATTGCAACATTCTTTTACTCGCAAAGATTTCTCATCAGAAACTAAATTTTTACTGATATAGAATGTTAACTCTGTTGTGAAAATTTGCAGCCACAGATTGCTTCCAAACTGAAGAATTGTGAATTAAAAATGTAGCAATAAATAGTTAATCTTTGTTAAAAAATGATTTTTTTATGATAAGGCTTTATCTAAAACCTACCTAGACTCTGTACAGAGTAAGCCCACAGGAAGTCGTGTTTCTTCATACAATCTGCACACACCACCTCAGTGTAGCTCTCACTGGAAGGCAGAGTTTCAACACCCAAATGCTGTCAACATTCAAAGAAAAACATTCATTTGGTGCTAGAAACTTCTATTTCTATACATATTACCAGTAACTGATGTTTTAAAATTTAATGTTTAAGGAAACAAACTTCTGCTGAGACATACAAAACCATATGCATCTATTTGTAATTTTTTTTCAATTTCAATTTCATTACAACTGTATATATTTGGATCCATGTTTTGTACACATTTGAATCTACAATGTATTTATGAGGACAAAGTTAGTGCTTCTTCATTTTTTTTTTATTTACCATTTTTGATATTTAATAATGCCTCTTAATGCTCCTGTCAAGAGGAATGACCTTATTTGAGCACATCTGCATCTTCATATCTAACAAAGACTGCTAAGTTTGGTTGAAGTTAGCCCATCAAAGTTTCTGGAGAAATTATCAGAAATATGAAAAGTTACCCTATGGGCAAACTTTGATCAGGAAATTTCAACTGAATTTTGGTTCAGATGGGCTGGAAAGTGCACTTCAAGAGAGTGTAATTATGCAGGGCTTGGGAATGAAATCAGAGTATCAGAACAATCTTTGAATAAAATTTTTCTAAACCATTACTTACTCTTCCGTGATACCAGTCTTCACAAATCACACACTGAATCATCTCATCTTCAATCTGAAACAATATTGGGGTTCAACAAGACAAACAGTAGCCTGGACAGTTATATCATTGGAAACAGTGTACAACAAGGAACATAAGTGTACAGGATATGCTGCCTGTAATGCATGCTAAGAATCTTACATAACCTTTATACCGAACTCCAAAAACATTACTGGTAATGAAACACAAATTGTAAATTATTATGTAATTATTTTCTTATGTTGATAAAACTCCAGCCATTTTCTATGACAATTTAAGTTAACATTTCAGGGATTCACACATTGTGAATCTGCCTACTTAATAATATTCAATGTATATCACTTTAAAAGAAATAGAGGGAAAGAAAGAACAGTCTTTGAATTCATCTGATGAATGGCCATCTCATCTTCTTAGCATCAGGATCAGACTTATTAGCATTTTTCAACAGTAAATGACAAATAATAATGGGGAAATGTATTATATTTACAATTTGTGCAAATTTTTTATGAAATCCATTGGAAATCTACAATATTCAATTCCCTATAAAAAACACACACAAAACCTTGTCCAATATAATATATATAAATGTAGTCAGATTACAAAACCTTGTTCAATACAAGAGGCCCACGGGCCTTATAGGTCACCTGAGTATCACATAACAACTTTCCAACAATTGAATTTGGTTCCTGTTTTAAAGCAGAGGCCACGAAATTCAGAATTTTGAAAGGGGCACCATTGCTTATTATAATTATAAACTTAGCATGCTTACTCTATTTACTCAATACCCAGAGGTAGAACAGAGTAACAAAGAGAAAATAGACTTCCACTTCAAACCAGTTGTGCACCCCATCCCAAAGTAACCACTGACCCTGGGGCCACATATTTCAAAATTTTGGAAATTTTATCATAAAATGGTTCATTAATGACTAAAAAGCAGATTTCAAAGCATTAATTTATTTTCAATCTATGTACCCACCCCCACCCTGATACCCCTGACCCAGGGGGCATGAAATTAACCATTTTGCTAGATGCAACTTTCTACATCATAAATATATATACTTGGATCATTGGCATAATACCCAGGAGCAAAGGAAAAGATTTTAAAAGAATAAATGTATTTTCACTATATAATCAAAAGAGCCCCCCCCCCCCTTACACCAATTGGCAAAACCCCTGAAACAGGGGCCATGAAATTCAAAAATTTGGTTGAGGCACTCTTGCTCACTATAACTATATACTAAGTTAGTTTATTTAATACCCAGGGGCAGAGAAGAAGACTTTCAAAGATTTAATGTATTTTCACTATATAATCAATAGAGCCCCACCCTAACACCAGAACCCCTGACCATGGGGCCATAAAATTCAAAATTTTGAAAGAGGCACTCTTGCTTATCATTACTACGTACTTATTTAGTTTATTTAATAACCGGGAGCAGAGAAGAAATTTTCAAAGAACTAGAAAACTGACCAGTCAGCAAGGGCCCCGCCATGGGGTTGTCACGATTGTGACAATTATGCCGATTGTTTTATATAGAATTCGTGTTACCCTGTTTGTACATTGTACTTTTCCCCATTTGTAGATCGCATAAATGGTTAAATTTCTTATAATTACTCACTGTACTTACATATCTAGAAGAATATAATCTTATGATTATAATTTTATTATCCTGGATGAATATCAATATTGTAATACGCTAGATTTGTTGTAAATATCGTTTCTAACTCTGTAACTTTATTTATAGATACCGCCATCATGTTGATTATTTTGTGGAATATCACGCCCGATTCTAATTGTAATTTCTCTGTACTAAGCATTTTTATCGAAATCTAACACTTAGGGAATATTGTCATATTGTATAAATGTTTTACATTATGATTGTCATATTTTTATGTGGATTATCTATTGTTATTATTAAACATTATTTGACAATGATTATTGCCGGTGGCTGCCGGTGACTGCCGGTGGTACCGGAGATCTGCCGGTCGTCCCTAGGAAAGCGCGTGGGTCTCCGGGGAGACTCTCCAGAGCTATAAAAACAGAGGATAAGAATTGCCGGTGGGACTCGGTGTTAGGATTTTGAGGTTAGAGGGTGTTTTATTAGATTCTTAGAATTTTTCAGTAGGAATTAAGTAATTTTTGAATTTATTCATCAATTTTTCTTATAGTGATTATGGGTTAATCTTGTATCACTATTAATTACTAGTATTCATCGTAGGACGTTTATATTGGGTTAATCTCGATATTAAACGATTAAATAATTTTGTTATGGTTTGACTGAAAGTGAGTCTTGAAGTCTTTCCGTGTAAATAATTGTTTATCTTTGATAGAATTTAGGAATTCAATCAATTTAAAGTGATAATCTAGTTGCGTTTATAGGAATATTCAAGCAGGAATTAAGGCTAGGATTTGATATAGAAATTATAGAGATAAATTTCTTGCTTTAAATAGCTTTTATAGATTGTGTAGATTCTTTCAGAAATACTTTGGTTATGATCTAAGGTATTTCTATAGTATTTATTACTCACTATTCGGGTCATTCTCGTTTAGTGCGCCCCCCCCCCTTTTATTGTATTAACGTAATACGAAGGTTGTGTTAGTGTAGTATTTCATTGTGAATTTGGGTGATTCCCGACTTCCATTGAATTTTATTGTAATTGAATACTAATTAATTCACATATTGTGACTTTTATTCATTGAATAAATTTGTGAACTTTAAATAAGGCTTATCATTTAACTTCCCCGTAGTTATTTACGAGTCCAAACACAGGTAATGGGGAACCGGAGTCGGTTATCTTATCTTGTATCGGTAGGGGGCGCCACAGGAAAATGCGGTCCATTACAAAAGTGATAAAACCTGTGAAGATGGATAATCAGCATCCATTCTCGAATACGATATCGGAAAGCACACACGATTCAGTTACAATCCTTAATTTACTATGGCATCTAATTGTGGTGATATGACTATACCTGAACTTAAGAACGAGTTAGAAAAGTTTGGAGCAAAGAAATCAGGAAGGAAGTGGGAACTTGTGGAGAGGTAAATAAACATACGATGTTTTCATGCAAATCCAAGTAAACATTATTAATAACACAGTAAATAATTATAAGTGGTGTGTAAAAGATTAACATTAAGTCAAATTGACAGTAAATATCAGAATTACCTCGTTTAAGAAACTAATTCTTAAATAATCTGCAACTTTAGCGTGTTAGATTTTTAACTTGAATTTCCTCGGTAATTCTAACATCGATCTCATATTGCTTGGTGCTTGCAGTAAAATAAGAATACTTCTCTACATTTTTATTATGAAGCAGTATTATTATTTCCTGATTGTTGCAGCTATGTTTCACTCAAAATATACATGAAAAAGAATTAAATATGCTTATTTTATTGCAGACTTGAAGCCTACAGAAGAAATGCACATTGTGCTAAGACCGATGTTTATGGACCTGAATTTATGATGATGACGCCAGATCCACAACTCTACAAGGACCTTCATGGTGACAAGACCTTTCCAGGTTGCACAGAGGCAGAAATTTCCACTTTCTTGTCGAAGTTTAATAAGACAACTGATAAGAAAGGAAGGGATATGTACAACGATGGGTTTATCCAGTATGTGAGGGTGACATTTCATGATTCAAATTGGTTCGTTAGAAGTAGTGTAAAAGCTTCAATGATGAAGTCTGTGAAATATGTTGTTGACATTATGATAGGAAAAGACAGAAGTGTTATAGAGTCTCAATGTGAATGTGCGGCAGGCATGGGACCCGATGCACATTGCAAGCATGTCTGTGCTGTACTTTTTTCATGTGCAGATTTTGTTAAGCATGGGACATACAAAACAGAACTCACCTGCACACAGAGGTTACAAACTTTTCATCGTGCTAAGCCCCATAAAGGAAGCCCTATGAAAGCAAGACAGTTGGACATGCCAGGCTGTGACGAAGTATGCAATAATGACTATGACCCTCGTCCAGTTGAATTTAGAGGCAATCCGGGATACCAGTCTTACTTTAGAAATGTGTGCTTGAATTACCCAGGTATTAGTAAGACTCCAATTTTTCAGCTGTATGAGCCTGTAAACATGAAAGCTTACAACCTGGACCATGACTATCTAAAAGACACGTTTAGTGAAAATCATTTGAAACTTTTAAATGTATCAGAAATTTCAGAGGAGAATGCACGTCAAGTTATGATAAAAACAGCTACACAAGCGGCCAACGACCTTTGGTTTGAGGAACGTTGCAAACGTCTTCATTCTTCGGTATTCGGGAGAATATGTAAAGCAACTGATCGAACTGATAAGGTGAAACTTGCTGACTTTTTAACAACAAAGGCACAAAAAATTAATGCTAAACCTATTCTTCATGGAAGAAAATACGAAAAAGAAGCTGTGAAGAAGTACCAGGAAATTTCGGGACGCACAGTTTACAATAGTGGAATTTGTGTCAGTCTGGACTCCCCTCATTTAGCAGCAACCCCAGATGGTATTATTGACGATGACACCTTGATTGAAGTTAAGTGTCCATATGTGGCAAGAAACAGTTTTATTTCCTCAAAAACAGTTCCTTATATCAAGCAGTCTGGAAGTAAATTTTATTTGAATAAAACCCATGACTATTACTATCAGGTCCAAGGACAACTTTACTGTGCAGAGAAAAATGAGTGTATATTTGTTGTGTATACTTTCAATGACTTTTTGTTCTTTGCAATAGAAAGGGATGATAAATTTATTGATGAGATGAAGAAAAAATTGAATGAATTCTATGAAGATTTTTTTAAGTCTGCTCTATTGGAAAAAACTTTTTTCAAGACATATGATGGAAAATGTAGTTGCAATAAAGAAAAATGAAATAAAGACTTTTTTCTCTTATTATGTCATTTTTAATACCAAGTTATGCATAAGATGGCACTATGCAATTCTTAAAATTACACAACATGAAACAAACATAGATTATTTCTGAAGAAAGTTTTGTTTCAGAACTATTCATAGGCTCAGTCAGAATTTTGAATGTTTTTGCAAGTCCAATGATCCTC